TCTGAAGATGACCTCTTCTCGTAACTTCACTTCAGAGCTGTACAGAGGTGGTCATTTAGGCAGTTTGTATAACAACAGTCGTCGATCAGCCGAATTCATGAAGGTAAATTATCCTCCCTAAGATATCCAACTTTCCGGACGACCAGGTGGAAATCTGAAATAGTTTCAGTCTATTGTAAGCCGACAGTATGAATGGACATCTGGTAAATTTTCACAGTTTTGTCACAATAAGCAGACAAAGAAGTATCATAGCGACTGTTGTGACAAGTATCTGTTGGATATACGCCGAAGTAAGGAAGGAATTGGAGTCCTTCAAAGACGCTACAATCAAAAATGAATATGCAATCCTGCTTCATTAATAAACTTCTAAAAAGAAGGACTGATGTGCTTCACAAAACCTGGATTTAGAAAGAAGTAACAACTAATTATTGTATATCTGAAATTCAAGGGGGATACAATTAATTAGTAAAATTCTCTGAAGCCGCCTGTAGAGAGCAATTCAAAGAATGTTATTTGCTGCATCACTTTGCCTCACATCACCTTCTCCTCACATATACTGTTGTTCACCAGAATGTGGAAGACCCTACCTGTTAACAACTTCTGTGTGAATTTTCTGATCCACCTTTTTGCTCCTGTGGAGCCAATTACATAGTTCGTATCAGTAAAACATTCATTGTCTAGACACACCCATGAACACCTACCAGGCATGGTTGTCAAAGCGAGAACTCAGAAGAGTAGTGAAGGACTAAATTCTGCTCATGCAGCATCCATCAGCAGAGATTTCATTGAAAGCCATATATTAAGTACTTTCAGGTCGTTCACAGGAGGGTTTCACTGACTTCTTCATACAGCTGAAGCATTCAGCAGTCAATAAGGAAAACATGGACTGTGTGTTCACAAACCTTGTTAATTATCCCCATTTTTTATCACACTTGATGGTTTTACATCTGAATATACATGATGAATGTCATAAATATTCACTTCCTATTCATATACATTCATTTGCGACAAACTTTTTGAAGTGATGGCCTAACCTTTACATGGTGGGGGATTAATTGAATTAGGCAGTATTAATGGAATTTAACTATTTTTCTAATGATGCCTCTGAGGAGTTAAGGGAGGAAATTCGACCGATGAAGTTAACTTACATTATTACCCTGATTCCGCTAGGAAACCTAACTTTTTGGATTTTAATTTCAAAATGGGTTTATATATATATATATATACAAAGGAAAGCGGCGAGTTGGTCGTCCAAGAGTGACTTGGAGGAGGTCATGTGAAAAGGAGATGAAAGTGTGGGCAGACTTGGAGCCAGGTGAAGACCCTATCAGAGAACCGAACGTGATGGAGACGCACGGCTGAAGTCCTATGTTCCTCTAGGAATTAAAGGAAACAATAATAATATAAATGCTCTGGGAATTCAATTTTTACTGCTCGCAGAAAGTTGTCAGTGTGGTTTTGTAAAAGTCTAGTATACACCATCGACCTCTATCAACTTCATTCAGCAGCTATTTGACGATGTCACACGTCAAGTGATTCCCGAAGGAGGACCCAGTGATGCCTTTGAAGTGGAGATAGGAAAAAGTGAGGCAAAGCTGCCTACTATCGATGATGACATTTCTGACTGTGGTAGACTGAATCATGTTGCTGGCCGTAGGGAGCGAAAAAACAGGAATAAGCTGGACCGTTAATAAGACTCTAGAAGGTCTGGACTTGACGGATGATTTATGTCTAATGTTACAAGAACGCGAAGGTCTATAAGCGAAAAGTAAGAAGTTGAGAGAAGAGGCAAGCAACGAAAACAGGATTGTTCAAGTGAATATCAAATGAGACACAGGTAATTCAGGTACTTGACTGGCCAACAGTAACATATGCCAATCATCGTTGGGAGGAGAAATCTAAAGGAAAATACCTCTTTCATTTATTTAGGCATTATTGTTTTAACTACAAGTGGCAACACAAATGAGAATGTCAGAGCCAGACAGGATTGAAAAACCAACACACACCTTTATGAATCTGAAATTAGTGTGGAAACCTTTTTTGGTCAGCATAAGGATGAAGAATCGGATTTTCAACACTAATGTCAAGTCAGATAGTGCTTTTATGCGGTTCAGAGACTTGGCGAATGCGTCACCAAAAGCATTCTGAACAGGCCACTGCACATATTTATCAACAGTTACCTTCGCTCCATATTGGAGATGATCTGTTCGACCAGAAAGACTTAGCAACAAAGAACTCTGGGGAAGAACCAAACCAGAATCCATGGCCCAACTAATGTGCTGAAGAAAATGCAGGTGAAAGGATTGGGCACACGTTGCAGACATCGTTGTGTGACATCACGCACCAGGTTCTCGAGCGGAACCTGAATGAGGAACCACTAGTAGGTATTCTGAGAGTGAAATAAATGAGATCTTGTGAGGAGGAGATTAGAGCGTATGGACAATTGTGAAGACAGGTAAAAAAACTGCAGAAGACAGAGTGTAATTGAGATATGCCCCTATTGAAGCCCTACGTCCTATCCGGAACCCATGAGAATAATAATAAGTATTGGTTTTGTAGGGATTTAGTTTGATTGGATGGAGTAGTAGTTGTCCAGTACTCCCAGGTTTTCCAGTGGTTCCTTAACTGATGTCAGCTCGTGATAAAATCCTCCATCCAATAATAATAAGAACATAATGACCTTAAATCAGTGTAATTTTTCTTGTTTTTCACCAAAGAGTTTTGGCCTGTGACCTCAAAATAAAACTACATTTTTGCAGGTATCATGAACTCATGATGCCAGTTTTGTATTGCTCACTCTGTTCAAGAAGGTCAAATGCTGACCGGTCGGTGACTTTTCCGTCTTATTGATGAATTTGGGGTCTTTGTCAAGATCATTTGCGGATAATATATATATATATATATATATATATGGTAGGATGAACTTTCTTTTGGTATGTTAGGGTGGTTCTTTTCACCGGTAGTTTGATTTGAGTTGAAACATTTAACTTTGATGAAATTGCATGAACAGTGTGTGGTAAGCAGTATATTGATGAAAGTGAACATCTCCTTTGACTTACAACTACAGACATGGTATCCGCTTATCAATAAAAGCACTTGTATGATGTGCAAAAGTTCTCCGAGTCTTTCTTTATATCTCTGTGGTAAGAGAAGCTAGTTATATTCGAATATAGGTGTTTGCGTTCTATCTCCCGTGTGAAACGGTACTATATAGTGATTATTATCGCATTTAACCTTATGGATTTAGGTTAGGAGAGCAAGTCAGTCGATGAGGTATTGAATCTGCATTGATTAAGTGGACTAGAATACGTATTGCTCATGGCAAGCCATTGCTTCTCTCGTCAAGTGATGTTACCTGACATATAAATAAATTGAAAAAGAGTTGGGCAGAGTAATCAAACCAAAACATGAGATGAGTCTATGAAGTCTTTAATGATTGGTTTGAGAAGGTTACGTGGGGGATGCACATACTACCTGAATGGGGTCGTTGAGACGCTAAGAAGCACTAATAGCTGGAGACTGAAATATTGAACAGTGGCCTAATAAGAGCTGTGGAATATCAACCAGTAGGGCTTACTTATTAGCTAAACAAATCTACCTGATCCGTCTTAACACCAGAAGGTCATCTGATTCACCTGAGACCGAGTTCATCAGTCAGTGTTGTACTCAGTATGACTCATCTGATGGAGGAATGAGTTACTTCAAGCAACCAAAGTTCCGGCTAGCTAATTACTTGAGTGAATTGGGCCGTGAGCTAAGTCAAGCTGGATACACCACCGCTAAGTGATGAGCTCTGCCGTAAATGAGCGAAACTACTGTCAGGTTTTTACATCACTTTAATTTGGGTAGCTGGCTATTGGTCACTATGGACTGGTTGGTGTGAGCGCTAAACAGGTGCTTATATCAATCTATCAATAGTATGTGCCATCTTAACGGACAGCTGCTGTCTTAACATGGTAGCCGGGCCTCTATATCGCAATGACCCAATGAACTACCTTTTACAGAACTAATGTTCCTTTACGCACTACCATGTCAGAAAAGTCATTATATTGTAAGTCATTTATACTATAGATTGTGGAGCTGTGGGTGGAGTCGTAATGCTAGAAAAGAGGGATGTAATAGTAGTAATGTGTTTTCCTCAGATGGCCAGCATACCAGCTATTCTATCTCTCCGCTCTGAGGAGTTGGGGTTGGAGGTAGAAAATGTCGACCCTAGAAATAGTATTTCCTGATTAACTTAGTGGTGAGCTGTAGCTGGAAGTGAGATTTTAATACAGATACAACTCCAAGAACCAACTCAAACAGCCCGTTTGTGTGGGTGTGTGATTGGCCTCAAGCAACTACGTCCACTGCGCTCTGAGGTTACGAAACAGTAGCACCGTTTCTGTTACAGGTATCCTGAGAAAAAATCAACTTCTTTGACGTGGGTAACCGGGAAGTAACAACTGCCGACAATCTTCCATAAGCACACAAAGCTCTCCTAATCATATTTCGCTTTTATCTACGCCACACAATAACATGCTGTCATCTATCATTCACAAAAATATTGTGTGTGTGATCTGAACAATTTCTATTTCTAAAGATTGATAATTATAGTGATATTACATCTCGAACTGTGTGTAATTCTTGCAAACTGTAAATTCGATGATTACTTTACTTTCTAAAGAGCAATTTTTAAAGCTAGTTTGGGGGGGGGGTGACATCCGTTAGAGAACCACTGCAAACCATAGCAGGAGGCAGTGGACATCTGTTTCGGCCTAGTTTGAGATCCCTTATCAACAGAATGCATCCATCACTTCACTGGAGATCGAAGTTAGAATTCACGGGTCATTGAATTCCGGTCACACAGTCATCACCTGAAGGTCCTCAGTTCGATCTTCTGATAGGTCATGGCAGCGTATTGCTGAAGCAGAGTCCCAAACTAGGATTACAAAACAGTTGCCCAATACCTATTGGTAGTTTTTAAATAAAAATTTGAAGAGTAACATATTTTAACTTACATGGATTTTCTTCTCTTTTGTGTTCATAAGGTCGCCAGTCATCATATGGAGCTGGAACTCCATCGTCTGGTGGCATTCCCGCTTCAAATTCACCTTCAGCAATGTAATAACTGCTCTCAGTGCCCATAATTTTACCCCAAAATCTTAGTTTGACAATAGTTTTTAATTTCAACGATAATTTACGTATACTTAACCAGACACGCAGCATTTCTGTGCGTCCAAGACCTGAGCAATTGTTCAAAAAATTAGTTGAAATGAATTATTTCATAACAATTTAGATTTGTTTTGAAAAAATGGTTTTGGGTACAATATTTTATCACTGAGGAAACAATATCCCTTTTCAGTAACTCCCTTCTCTTCATCAGATCTGATAGTTATACATATGTACATATATATCACATCTAACGTATGAAAACTTATATTTATATTGTCCTATCCATGTACTTTTCTTATGCTACTTTGTTATTCTACCATCTGGTCATTGCTCTAGGAGCCTTACTTTTCGTGTGGAGGAACACCTACCACTCTGGATAAATAAAGGTGTGGTCAACACCGTCAACAGTTCAATATTAAATCACGTCGTCCAAGCATCATGCTGACTTCAAGGTCCTCCTCTTGGTTGTTGACTTTGAAAGCTGTAAATGTTACTAAATTCGATTGGGCGCCTGTGAACGACATGTTGTCATGTGAGTGTATTTTAGTAAGTGAGGGTTTTCTTAATCGCTCTTCGAAATTCACCTGTGTAAAATATTTGAGTAGAATTAAATTATTTTATATAAAAGACCGTGTAATGTATTTCATGTCAAGAGTGTGTTGCAATTGCTGTGAAGTGCTTAGATAAGGCATGTTGGCCGCTGTCTGACTGACAGACTGTGGTACACACTCTTCACTCATATATCTTTTGTTTGTTTACAACAAGCGTTTATGTTTCAGCTGAACTCTGTATCCAAATTTAACCAGCATAAGTAGGAAGGAATAACTGGGCGAGGGAGGTGGTGATATTTCCAACTAAAGTGATTTACTCCCCTTTATAAAAGTTGTTCTTCTTTTTGACCAAGATTCATTCTGCTTGAAGATTTCATTGGTTTCGTTTTAATTACTAAGAATTTTCCCCGTCGTTCAAAGTGGAAAGCACTGGTCATTGTTTAGTCGATCTTAGAGACCTACCTATGCTACATTTAGTGGAGTCTAGATTTGAAGAAATTCTTAAGAAGTTTAGGAGAGCCTTACAATGTTGAAAGAGATTCAAATTGAAACAAGGAGACATAGGTGAACAGTTTTGATGTGGCTTTGTTATTCTTTGAGCCATTGGCTGGGTGGTGGTTTTCACTGTGAAGCAGCTTTCACTCACTGTCCTCTTTTTAGACGCAACATCAGTTCGGCGGAGAGAACTGTGATTTGTTGATTCTGTCATTATACGACTACTGAAGTCTGAGTCGTGCGATCAAAAAAGAGACTGCTGCTAATTTATTACTTCGGCTGGTAAACACTGGCTTTTCCACCTAAACTCAGTGGAAATTTCGTATCACTCTTAAATTCTAGAATATTCCGTCCTGTTTTGCTTATTGGCGATTACTGTAACTTTTGTTCATCTTAGCATTTTTTATAATTTATGAAATTATTCCTTATCTAATGTGGTTTGTTGTTTCACTGGTAAAAATACTCAACATACTTCATGGGAGAGGTCTGTCGTTTGATTCCCGGCCAACGCGCTGCTCTTAGTTTCACCTTCTTTACTATAGAGGGAAGGTTGGACGTGAGGTTAGAAACACCACCCAATAAAAGAAATACCTTGGAGCACTTTATTTCAGCCGAAATACAGAAGATTGGGAGGAATCAGTACGGACAAACAGAGACTCTTCTCTAAAATTCAGTGTATACAATCCCTTTAATAAATCTTGCTTAGCACTATTGGAAGATGTGCTTGTGTTCTCCCTGTGATTGGATTTTCGATCCCTATGACAACATCAAACCAGGGCTTGTGTTATAGTAAAGTAAACTATTTTAAAATTCTTAATGAATAATAACACTTTATGTCTGATGATCCAAAATATGGTCGGTTGCCTTCAAAAGTTCCCTCATCTCACCCCGTCAGAGGTCTGGGGTTCACTTCATGCATACTGACACATTCTAATGGGCCTGACTTTGTTTACTAAGCGCTAGGTAGATAATAAATCCAGGAAAGAGGGGAGGTTGACCATGAGGCTAGGAACCACATTCCTAAGACAAGAGAGTCCCTGTTGACATTTCTGCGTCTCCCAGTAGCCGGATGCTTCAACAGTTTCTAAGCATTAACGTGAAGTTATGGCCCTCATGGCCTAGTGGGCAATGCTTTGGCGTTTTGAGAGAAGTTCAATTTCAGATAACTCACATATGCGAACGACACACCAATGACTTTCATAAGCTCCGTAGGAGCAGGAGGTGAAGTCGGTAAATGACACTATATTCATGAAAAGGAATATTGTATGAAGTGTAATGATATCGAACAAAATATCTGGTTAGATTTAGGTCAGCTTAGGGAAAGATTAAGGTTCAGGATTAGGCTAGGGTTAGTATTGACTCAGATTCCCGAATTCCCATTATGATGTAATCACTTCTCATAGTCACTGGTATGGCGTTCGCGCCTCTGGGTTATCTTACGTTGACCGGCGATTAAAACGATTGCGAGATGCGGGTTTCAACTTTCAGGGAGAACACCATCACTAGCTCACTCGCCCAGCCAGGATTCAAGGTGTGTTCCACTGTCTGTGACCCACCACTAGTCACCACGATCAACCGAAATAAAATCATCAGTCATCTTTGAAGCGTCTGCGTACTAGCTGATACTGATAATCCAATAGATGCCGAACATTTTGGCCCAACTAAATGATGAGTCAACCAAGTTCTATTGCGGCTGAAGTGCTCCCCTTAAACTTCCTCTAATTTAATAGAGGAGAAGGAAGGACTGGTATGTGGGTAGTAATGCTACCACTATAAAAATCAACATAACACCATCACTAAAAAACTTCGAACCTTTAAATCTTGGAGTCCGTATTATTCCATGCAGAATGTGAAAACGAATTTAAAAACTGAAAATGCAAACAGAATTTCACGTACCAATACCACCTTGTTCAATAAGAAACGATGTAATACCAAGATTTTGTAAACGTTGAATTTCATCTTCATTATCAAATATACCACCCCAGTTTGTCGGTAAAGCTGACTTGGAATATGGGGGTTCATCCCATTTATGTTTCGGATGCTGTATAAGAATGAGAATAATGATAAAAACATATGTGAAAGTAAAGAGTGAATGCATTGGCATCATTCAGAGCGAATTTGAGCCCTTTCATCAACAATCTGAATGCTATTGCTAAAACGTAGATATTTGTGTTCGTAGACAACTAACCTCTTCATTTCTTCTTCCTTAAGCTAGGACGAAGAATAAATACTTGGCGAAGAATGAGAATTTGGCGGATCTAGGAGTTTAGAGAGAGAGGGAGACCGGGTCCACTGGACCGAGTCCCAGCGAATTAATGGTCTACAAGCTCGCCTTGTAACCAGAAAGTCCTGGGTTTGAACCTAAGTGGATGCGTACTGATGAAGAGTCCCAAAGTAGTCTAACGAAATAACTGTACGGTACTCGCAGGTTTTCGAATGGTCCTCTAACCAGTTTCAGTTCATGATGAAATCCTGAAACTAATCAAATCCCTGCAAACCAACACTTGGAGATGTAATTCTGTTATGAATGCCTCTGAGTCCAGGAAAAATAATTATTTTTGAGTTTATAAAAAAATTCTAGATGCATTAAAATCTTATTCTTTTCATAAAAAGTGGATGCATGTGTCCTAGTGAAAAAGATTTTCATTCATATCGCCAACAATATCGAACACATTAATATTTACTGTCTCATTTACCTAAAAGATGAAGGCATACACATTCATTTACAAGTAATCAAACAAATATTGGCTAAACTTCAGTATTTAAATTCATCACCCTGTAAACTATTTACATATTATTAAGAAAATTACTTAGGTATTAGGCTTTGGCTTCAAAACAAAAAGATGGGTGATGAGCTCGAGTCCTACTTAAGATACTGGTAAATAAAAATGATGAGTTCGAAATTAGTCAAAATGTGCATCCTGCAGCATTTCGCCTTTATTTACCGTGAATCAACTAAAGCAGTGTGAAAATCTCCCATTTAGACATTGAAAAGACAAAAACTGAAGAACAAATGGCAATAAAATTCAATCAGAATGTCAATATCGAAAAAACAAGATAAAACCAAATGCGCTCAGTAGTTTACCTTCAATAAAGTTCCTTCAATCTTGGCATGTTTATAATCTGCCGACACTGCCTCTTCAGTTGGCGCTCTTGCTTCAATGTCTTCTTGTACAAGACCAGCTCCCGCTCCAGAGCCACCAGTTCCTCCACCTCGCTCACGTTTCACTTGATAACTTAACATTTCAAACTGATCCAATGCGTGTGTAGGTTGAGTTTCTAAGATCAACTTCAGCAGTGTGACTAAATGTTCATAAAGATTCCCTGTTCTTGGATCACTTTGTCGATTTTCATCGTGAAGTTTTGGACCGCCTATACCACCTCCACCAGCACCACAACTACTATGCATACTTTGAAGCAAGGCTTTACCACGTAGGAACTCATTTTCAGCGGGTAACTCAGGGCCAAGATTAACATATGTTTGACGTGGTTCTGTCATACGTATTGATTATTCTTATTCCTATTTGATTTGAAAATGCTAAGTCTGAAAGAAAAAAGTGATTAAATAAAAGTGTCAGAAACAGGCAGCAAGGGTAAGCACAAAGTGAGAGACAGACCTTTATGATCAGGAAACAAGTTTTTAAGTCTATTACACTGGGCACTCAATATAAAAAACTAGATCCCGAGTTTGTTTGGACTCAGAGACATGATAATCTCTTTTTTTTATTAAACACTAGTCAGTAACTAGTGTAATGTGTCTAGTCTTATCTTCGGTGCAGACTGAATTCTATCAGTAATGTTTGCAATGTGGCCACCATGCTAGGTGGCTCGCCATTACGGTGCACTGTGAATTGTTGGTACTAGATGGTTGGAGACAATCGGCAGGAAGCCTTGGACCTAGGTTTCATGCTAGTTGGCACTCATCAGCAAGGCGTATCTGCAACCTTGAAGGAACTGATGTCCCTTCTGAGATTCGAACCCACATCACCCATTGCTGCAGTCAGAGACGTTACCACTGCAGCACTGGGTGGTGTGGGTTCGAATCTCAGAAGGGACATCAGTTCCTTCAAGGTTGCAGATACGCCTTGCTGATGAGTGCCAACTAGCACGAAACCTAGGTCCAAGGCTTCCTGCCGATTGTCTCCAACCATCCAGTACATGATAATCTCTAGTAGATTTTTATTGACAGATGTCGCCACTATGTCAAATCACTAGAAAGAAATTCTGGGAACGAACCAACTAAGCGCCACTCTATTAGCTACTCAACAGATATGTCGAAGGAAATGGGAATGAATCGATTAGAATCACGCGCTCAGGAAATCTTTCAGTGGAAGCCAAGTGTGTAATGAACTGCTAGTTGCGCAGTGTAGAGACTACATGGAGGAGACCATGTGATGTGGGAGAAATGGATGCCTTTGGGAAATCGTGGAGCCAGCTAAAAATGTCACCGCAAATCACAACGAAATGGAGATATGTCCCACGTGAAATCCCATGTTCCACTCGGAACCCAAGAGAACAATAAGAATAATCAATATTTAAGGTGATAATCGAGAAAGTCTTTGGAAAAACTGCTTTATGCCGCTCATGCAAACACATAGAGTCTGTTTTGAAGTAATTTTCGGCATTCAAAGCTTACTGAGATAGTCTAAGGTTGGCAAGTCCCGCTTTCACGTTACCAACCGCTATAAATATCAGTTTATATGTAAATCCCAATGCAGATACGTTGGAGTAACGAAAAAAGGATTTGTGACTTTATATGTTAGCATATTTCAGGAAAATCTCAACTGTGAAAAGTGAGAAGCTGCATAACCGTAGCGAAATTTTCCACTGTCTGTTAGATAATGGCCATAAAGTCGATGCACTGAAATCTCTTTTAAGATAAGTCAAGCTGATAATCGAAAAATTTTTGTTTGCTTATGAAGGCATATGCGAATGATTGTTAATTCCCGGCTACTGAAGTGATGTGAAATACTTGGAGAGGGAGAGCGAAAAAGCTTTCGTATTGTGTGACTTTCGGACTCAAAAGACAGCTGCTAAGGCCAGTTACACACACACACAAGGCCTGTTTCAAGCGGCTTTTGGAGGCGTGGTCTATATGAACATCTTACCGCTAACTACAAGCCACCGTGGAGAAAAATGGGATGTAGAATTTTTGGAGTCCGCCTTTTCTAGCTGCTCACTCCCTAGATCGGAGTAGTAGCATAGTCGCTTTGCTGATCGTCCGGGGGGAACACTTCTTGTCAAGAGTGCAGTTCCACCTCAAGACCCTGGATGTAGTGTTTGTAGTGTAACCGTAGAAGATGAGAGATTCGACAGAGGAATGCATATTTGGAATTTGGTAGCTCTATGCAGTGAAATTAACCTCGCCTAGATTACTAGCTCACTAGTTTTCTAGCCCGTCCCAAGCCCGGATAAAGAGGGAGGGTTTGGCGTGGTGCTAGCAACTCCACACCCAAAACTTAACCAAATTGCTACAAAAACTTCAACGCACAAACATATTAAAAATTCTAAAAGTACAAACAATAACCTTATTTTTCACTGGAATCGGGGAATTGAAATGACGCAGGCTGATGAAAGCCTTTGAGAAGCCAGTCAGCCGATGTGCCTTCTTTCGATGAAAGCAAAAATAAGGATGGGGACGTGGAACATTCGTACAATGTACGAAACTGGAAGGTGAAGCTAAAAGCCTCGAGGATAGCTGGGGATGGGCCACAATGCAAGTTCAGGTAGCCGCAGAAATGAGGAGACATAAAGTAGAAGTGTTGGGAATCTGCGAGAGCAGATGGAACGGATATGGAAGGTGCCAACTACCAACTGCAGAAACAATAATCTACTCCGGTCACCCAGAGAACAATCACGAGCACACCGAGGGAGTAGCCATCATGATGTCACCAGCATCAGCCAAAGCTCTCATGCAGTGGGAACCAATCTCCTCCAGGATAATGACAGCCAGGTTCAACTCAAAAGGAAAAAAAGTTACAATCATTCAATGCTACGCACCTAAAAACGTCTCAGAAAAAGAGAAGAAGGAGGATTTCTACAGTCAACTACAAACAGTAATGGACAACGTCCCAAATGGCGATATCAAAATCCTGATGGGTGACATGAATGCGAAACTGGGAGGAGACAATACAGGAAGAGAACTCACCAAGGGTCGTGAGGCCCTCGGTGAAACGAACGAAAATGTTGAACTCTTGTCAGACTTCTGCGCCTTCAATGATTTGGTGATTGGTGGCAGTGAGTTCAAACACAGGGATATACACAAGGCAACATGGATTTCACCAGATGGACAAACCAAAAACCAGATAGACTTCATTTCAATCTCAAGGAAGTGAAGACGGAGCCTACTGGACACAAGATCGAGGAGAGGAGAAGATGTGGGTTCAGATCACTATCTAGTACAAGGGACTTTCAAGGTGAAGCTAAAAGCCTCGAGGATACCTGGGGATAGGCCACAATGCAAGTTCAACAGGCGAAAACTGAAAGACACAACCACAAAGGACACTTTCACTGCAACGATCAGAGCAAAGCAGGAAACACTACGTGGCACCACTGAGGAATCATCCGTGGAAGACTATTGGAACTCTGTGAAGGTAATTTTCAACGAAACGTGTTCAACGGTTTTAGGAAGAAAGAAGAAACAAGACAAGGAATGGCTCTCAACGGACACTTGGAAGCTAATAGAGGAGAGGAGAAAGGTGAAAGAGAAAATGATTCAATGCAAAGATGGACAAGAGAAAGAGAAGCTGAACTCAACTTTCACAGCACTGGACAAGGAAGTGAAGAAGAGTGCCAGGAAAGACAAAAGACAATTCTACGAAAATCTAAAAAAAAAAGCTGAGGAGGCAGTAGGCAAAAGGGACCTGAGAACATTATATCAGATAGCCAAGTCTCTATCCGAGAAGAGATCAACACAAGTGAAACCTGTAAAAGACAGCCAAGGGAACCCAATTACCGAAGAAGAAAGACAGATTAAACAATGGGCGGATCAATTCAAAGGACTCTTGAACCGACCACCACCTACAACTCGTCCAGAAATGCCAACAACAGCGCCTACACAAGTGCAACTTGACACCAATCTTCCAACGAAAGCTGAAGTCTTGAATGCAATCAAGCTTCTGAAAGCTGGAAAAGCAGCTGGGGCAGATGAAATACCCCCGGAAGCACTGAAAGCGGACCCGGAGACGACAGTAGATATGCTGACTCCATTATTGCAAAAGATCTGGAAAGAAGGAAAGGTGCCTACTGACTGGAGGGAAGGTTACCTCATGAGACTACCAAAGAAGGGCGACTTAGGACTCTGCAAGAACTGGCGAGGAATCATGCTCCTGTAGATGCCAAGTAAAATCCTGAGTCGCATCATCCTGGAGAGAATAAAGGACGCACTGGATACAGAACTCCGACCAGAACAAGCTGGATTCAGGAAAGGCAAATCATGTTCTGACCAAATTGCAACTCTACGCATCATCATCGAACAAAGCATGGAATGGCAATCAAACCTCTACCTCAACTTCGTAGACTTTGAGAAGGCCTTCAACAGCGTTGACCGTGAAGTAATTTGGAAACTACTCGAGCACTACGGCGTACCCCAAATATTCATCAACCTTATTCAACAGCTGTACGACAACGGCACATGTAAAGTGATCCACAACGGAAAACTCACCGAGGCGTTTGGAGTAAACACAGGAGTCAAACAAGGGTGCTTATTATCACCAAAGATATTCCTAATTGTGGTGGACTGGATTATGCGTCAGACAGTGGGAAACGAGAGGACAGGGATATCCTGGATCGACGTGAAGAACCTAGAAGACCTGGATTTCGCAGATGATTTATATTTGATGTCACACAAAATCGAAGATTTACAAGCGAAAACCGACAAACTGGTCGAAGAAGCAGCCAGAGAAGACAGGACTCCAGGTGAACATAGACAAGACGGAGGTTATGAAAATAACCAACCAACAACAACAACAGCAGCAGCAACATCCAGCACCAATCACCATCAGCGGGAGGGATTCGAAAGAGGTTACTTCATTCACTTATCTAGGGAGCATTGTCTCAACTAGTGGAGGAAGGGACGAGGATGCCAGATTGAGAATCGGGAAGGCGAGAAACACATTCATCAACCTGAAACCAATCTGGAAATCTTCGTCGCTCAGCATCAACATCAAATTTCGGATTTTCAATACAAACGTCAAGTCAGTCAGTTCTTCTATACGGATCAGAAACTTGGCGGGTCACAAAGAATATTTCCAACAGCCTGTTGCAGACCTTTATCAACAACTGTCTTCGTTCTATACTGAAGATTAGATTTCCGGAAAGAATCACAAACAAGAAGCTATGGGAACAAACAAAGCAAGAACCAATCGCCCAACAAATATGCAGGAGAAAGTGGAGATGGATTGGACACTCGCTGAGGAGGCCGTTGGGTGACATCGCGCGTCAGGCCATCGCTCGAGTGGAACCCGAAAGGGAAGCGGCGAGTGGGCCGTCCAAGGGTGA